GCTACTGGCCCCGCCAACTCAGCATTCGCTAGAAGGTATACCACGAGCTCGTGCTCGAGTTCTACATCACCTTCGAGCACGCAGACACGGAGGATTGGAAGGACGGTGAAGCCGTCAAGTTCCGGCTTGGCGGTGAACCACGTTCCATGAGCTACAACGAGCTGGCGAACGCCCTCGGCCTCAACCTGGTCGACGACAGGGACTACATCACCGAGAGCACCGAGCCAGTGGGGGTGGACTTCGGGACACTGTACACCAGCCTCGCTCGGCCCGATCGGCTTCCCTTCAAGGCGGGGAAGACGAAGGCCAACACATTGCAGCTCGACAACCGCATCCTCCATCACATGCAGGCCAAGTCTTACACTCCAGCCTCGGACAGTGCCAGCGCCATCACCAAGAGAGCCATGTACCTTATCCAGTCGATGCGCCGAAGGGATCATCCCCTCCACTTGGGTTCGATGGTGGCGTGGACATTCGACAAGAGTGCTTCTGAGTTGAAGAAACTCCACTGTACCCCCCTCATCACCCACCTGGCAGACTACTTCCAGATACCCCTGCAGGGGTGCACAGAGGAGGGAGACACCAGTGTCTTTGGCCAGTTTACGATCAAGAAAATGCACCTGCTTCGAGAACAGCGTGGTGTTATGTGGATCGAGGGGTTTCCTCAACCTCAGATCCCAGAGGCGGTCCAGCCGGACGCTCCCGAGGGTGCGGCTGATGAGGAGGTCCAGCCGGAGGATGTGGATGATACTGTTGCCGCCCGCCCCACCACCTTCGAGTATAGGGGTGGCAGTTCCAGCTTCCCCGGCCAGGACTACTTCACTCAGCAGTTCGAGCAGCTGCGTCTCCAGAATCAGCAGCTCTACGACTATCAGATGCAGTTTCAGCAGCAGTATTCGGCACACCATGCCGAGTACCAAACCCGGATGGCTGCATATGATGAGCGCCTGGACAGGATGGAGACCCAGCAGGGGATAGCCTTGGCGCGCATCGAGAGGGAGCAGGCCCGAGCTTGGCGCATGCAGGAGGTCCAGGGGCATCTGCTCCAGCTGCTACCGGGCGAGCAGCCAGTCTGGAGGACTCCCTGGGAGGACTCTCCACTTCCACCTCCACCAGCTGATGACGATGATGCATTCATGAATGACATCGATCTGGACAACCTTGGCGACGAGTAGGCTGTACTTGTCACCCCTCAGTGTGTGTTTTTTGTTTTAGACTTTTTCTGTTTGCTCCATGTGTTTGCGGAGCTTGAACTTAGTTTGTCGTGTGTTTTGTTCTTGTCTTTTGTGGATTGTTTCTTTTGTGGCCATCTGGGCCAATTCTGATCCCTAACGAACATGTGCTAGTGTGTTCTTGATGTTCCCTTAGTGCAGAACTGTCTGTTCGTTCCATGTGTCCCACGCTGACTGGTCCACTTCTAGTCTCCCGCAACATTTCAATCCGGTAACATCGTTCCCCTTCTCTATCCCTCTGCTCCATTGAGGGCAATGTCGTGCTTAAGTGTGTGTGGGGGGGGGGGGGGTGCTTTGTATCGGTTGGAATGTATATACGTGTGCTTGGAGCCTAGTCCACTGTCCAAATCTCGAGATTTGAGGGCTCCAAGTACGGCTGTTTGATCATATTGGCACTGTGTTTTGATTGGTGAATTGAATGGTTTTCGGATTAATGCATGACAACTGGATGGTGCTTAGGACAGCCTATAATGATGACTGAGACGTGCAGTGGAGTTGTGTAGAGTTCAGTTTTTCAACTGTTTGCTTACCAACTGTGACTTGGATTGATTACTTGTTCTTGACAGTCTCTTATGCATCTAGTTCAGGGAATCAGAATGAGAGATAGAGCATATAGGTAGCCATGTGAGATTTGAGCCTGCTCGTTTCTTTCCTGTGCAATAGTTCCCTCTTCCATGATGTGTAGCATTCACGTTGTCATTAACTAAGATGATGGAGGCATAGGATTAGCCCACGACCAAATTGACTGTCCTGGTGTGTCATACCCCATAGTCAGCCCCTTTGAGCCGTGTGATTATCCTTTCTTTCGGTCTTCAATGAAAAGTCACCCTTTTGCATCTTTTAGAAGGTTCCGCAGAGTGATTTTTACATGTTCTCTGCTGTTTTTGCTAAATGTAATGTGAGAGTTGGAGGTAGTTCTTAAAAAGTTGGGCAGGTGTTTGAAAATGTGCAGAGGTGGTGGTTCTCTTAAGAAATGAAAAAAAAAATGAAAGAAAACAAAGAAAAAAATGAAAGCAAAAGAGAGCCACCACCAAAAATCTGAATAGTGCCCATTAAGTAGTGTTTCTTGGCAGTCTGGCTTAGAAATACTGGTTTTAGGTGACCTCCTTCGCTCTTGTTCTCTGAATTTGAGTAATGCAGAATAGCAGAAAGAAAGTACTGGTTTGATTGACTGTGAGTTTGTTGGGTTTGGAATTGTGGAACCTTGTGTTATTAATACTTCCACCACCTAAAAGGCCTCTTCCCCATGTCCAAGACCCTAGCCAGTCACTTGAACCTGTGTCTAAGACCTCCTGATTAGTTAGTGATGACAACCATTTATGTGAACTCTAACCTTTAGAGGCTGCCGTCATGGTGAAGAGATGTTAGGAATTGAGAGAATTAGTATGCGCATTTTTTCGCATCAAATTGTCCTGACCCCACTGGTTGAGAGTGAGCGATTCATTTCCTTGTTCTTTACACTCTTTACCCGGTGAGGACCTAGATGGCTCGGTCTTGATTCTGATGTCTTGAGTTTCATGCATGAGTTTACTGTCTTGAGTGAGTGATTGAGTCAAGTCTATGTTGGTTGATGAACAGAAGGGAGATTCCTCCTTTACTCGATTTTGATGCACTCGAATGTCTTCTGTGGTGGTTGTCCAGGTTGCTATTGAGGTTGTTCATGTGTTGATGTTTGAAAACCAATATGATTCACGTGTTCTGTGCCTATATAAGCCGTTAATTGCACATGTTTTTACCCCTATTCTGGAGCCATTTGAGATGGTAATTCTCGTGTTTTAGGCCGATTTCACGCTAGGTTGTGTTTGTTTGTGATATTTCAGGTCCTAGCAAGTGAATGAAGGTTTAGGAGCGAGTTCAGCGTCGATTGGACGAAGATCGGGCGCGAGGCAAGTAAAAAAGGAGGCCACACGGGCACACCCACAACTCACACGGCCGTGCAAGTGACCACTTTGGCCGTGTAAGATTGTGCGAGCCTTCACACGGCCAGCCCTGATTATCACACGGCCGTGTGAAGTTGCACTTTGGCCATGTGGAATTCTGCGAGGCTTCACACGGCCAGGCTGGGTGAGCTACACGCCCGTGTGACCCTGGCCGTGTGGGAAGCCTGAAACTCAATTATTCGTAACGCGGCGTTTTGACCTCACACGGGCAACTGGGTATGCCACACGGCCGTGTGACCCTGCCCGTGTGAGTCGTGAATTTCTGGTTTTTATCCAATTTCGGGCTGCAAGTGGGAGAATCGAGTTTTGAGAGCAAAAACAGAGCCCTAGAGAGAGAAAGTACGAAGAACACATCCTAGAAGCTATCTTGGAGCTGGGTTTCATCAAATCAAGCTTGGAGATAGTCATAGGAGTGGAAATCATCATCCTAGAGCAGATTTTCCTCATCTTTACGAGTATGACTACTCTGTATTCTGTTTTCCTCTCTCTCTCTCTATGGAGTAGAACCCTTCTCTCACTTGGGTATGAAGAACCCTAGTTGAAACATCCCGACCTTTTTCGAAAAATCAAACCACAACTCAAACCCAAAACCGGTTACTCTAGAGCAACCAAACCACTTTTTAAATAAACAAACTGACATTATTAAAGAAGTTCAAACGAAAAGCCCTAACACTTGGGCAATCAAAATCCAAATACTTAAACAACTTATCCCAGCATCTTGAACCTTGAATCTCCAGTACATATACTCATAATCATAATCATAAAATAACTTCCAAATTTTAACTCTAACTCTTCACCCAGCTCCTTGACATCTCACCAGTACTGGCACGGCCGCTCGCCTCATCTTACTTCTTCTTGGGATCCACTTCCGCTAACCCAACCTCAACCTGGTGAGTGAGAAGGGGTCAGTCTCGTCGTTACTTCCTAAGGTCTCTTCCCTTAGAAAACTCCTTGCTAAAACACGTTATTAGCGTTTCCTTTCCTTAGATGAAAGTCGTTCTCACTTTCATCCTTAACAACTCATTTCAACTTTAACTCATAGAAGTTCTCAACTTTTATCCTTAAATCATAGAAGTGCACTACCCCTACCTTAACTTATATACTTATTACTAGGGAATTACCGCGTTACGTATCGCCGTCCGGTGTCCCTATCCTCAAGGCAATGGTACTGCGTTACGTATCAGCGTCCAGTCCATGCCCGGTCAACTACTGCGTTACGTATCGCCGTCCAGTAGTGACCGGACCATCTACCGTGTCCAGTAGTGGCCCAACCGCCCGGGGGTTCAACTTACCATCGACCATACATCATAAACGCACACATACATAGCACAACGCGTGCCTCCACCTTAAGTAGGCGGTGGGATGCCTCACACACATTATCGCGCATACTTGAAAAATAACAAACATAATTGAATTAAAAGACATAAACTAAAAGACCTCGACGGAGATTTTACCCCCTTTACACTCACCTTATTAGCCGACACTGATCGATCAAAACGACCCCTCTTTATTGCCGGTTGATCCATGCCATCGTCCGAGATTCCATGCTCAATCATCTCCTTTTGCAAATCCTCCTATTAAGTATTTAGACAAAACTTAATACTCCTTTCTACGAACGTAACTAATCATACGACCTCAAATTTGGTTGATTCCAATCCCAAATTCCTCCATTTAATCTTTCCTAGGATTCCCCACAAAATTCTGGAAAATTACCTTTTTGCCCCAAAATGGCGAATTACAAAATGGTACCCAGAACTCCTGACTTTTACCAATTCAGTCCCCAACTTCCAGAATTGCACAATTCAGTCCTCCAAGCCAATTTCCACTTCCTGATTTAAACATTTTAGTCCAAATGGCCTATTTCAATCTGGTACCCAAATATTCACTCATTGCAACCCACCCCAAGGCCTGGTCAATTACTTTACGGCACCCAAACTTATTAAATTTACCAAATTTCCCCAATTCCAAAAAGACATAGATGCCCTTGACTATTCATCAAATTTCCAACTCAATGTCATGGAATTCCAATAAAATTGGAGGACTCTCACCTGCACACCTTCGCCGCCGTCGACGGTGCGGCTCCGGCCACCGTCGCCGTCGTCCTTCTCGCCATCTTCGAACCCACAACAAACGCACTCCTCCGGCTCCTCTTCTTCTTCCTCGAGCAATGGTTCGCCATCTGCCGCCGCCTGGAGCTCCCTGCCGCCGCCGCCGTCTTCCACACCCCTCCTTGGCCCACAATTGGGAGGCCATCTCCTAGCTGCAAACGCTCTCGGTCGCTTCGGAGGGTAGACCTGCATCCTCTCCGTCTCCCCTGCTCCATTAATCGCCTTGTCGACGCCGGGAACAACGCGAACGTCGAGGTCACCGTCGAGATTTGTCGTCGGTACTGCATTCCTGGGACTCCTCGCGCGTGCACGGATCGCCCGCCTCCCTCCTCTTCTCAGGAATCGCGTCGTCTTCTTCATTTCGATCCTGCGGCTGTGTTCGTCGGAACTTCTCACCACGACCTTCTCTCCTCCTCGCACTCTCTGCTTCACAACTTGTTTCTTTTCGCCTCTCTTCCTCTTTTGTTTCCCCTTCATTGAGAAGGAAAATAACCCCAAATAAACCATGCCCCAATAATCGCCACTTAAAGCCCCAACACTTATTACTTCCGTTACCCATGATTCCCCGACGAAATCCCGCTTACGTTTCGTGCTCCACCGCCGCTCTGCCTTTTGTTTTCCCGGTCGCCTCCATAGAGGAAAGCGATTCCTCTTCTGTTTCCCCACCTCGGGCCCCCGCCCCGCCTCCTTCTCCTTCTTCTGCTTTCTGGGCCTCAAGCCCGCTTACTCCTTTCTTTCTTCCCTTTCATTCCGGCCCACAGCCCATCTCCTCTTCTTTCCTTCTCCCTGGTCGCCAGCCCAAATCTCCTCTCTCCTCACTTCCTTTCTTCCTTTCTTTCTTTCTTTCTTTCTTTCATTCGAGCCAAAGCCCTTCCTCTTCTTTCTTCTGGGCCGGCAGGCCAGCCACTCCTCCTCTCCCTCTCTCTACTCGGGCTAAGCCCACTCCTCTCCTTCTCTTTTATTTCATCACCATGGGTCTTCAGCCCTTCTTCTTTTCTTCCTTCCCTCTCTTCTCCAACACTCCCTAAACTTGGGCTTAGCCCAATTCGTATAAATCCCATCACCTGGCGGCCCAAAATCCCAAAACCACCATACCCACTCCAATAACCCAATTATCAAAGTAAAGCCCACTCGATCAATTACGGTCATAACTTTTGCATTTTACATCGAAATTCAACACCGCTTGAACCGAGAGCTTACAATTTAACCCCTATCGCTATTATGGTGGAACTTGATAAATTTTACCCAAGGGTAAAATAGTCATTTTGACCTTTAGAAAGAGCAGGGTGTAACATTTCCTCCACCCTTATAAAAATTTCGTCCTCGAAATTTGCTCGGACTCATCTCCCATTCTCCTCATTCTTGTACTTCCTTGTCTTGCGAATTTACTCTCGCTCCATGAAATTCGATGATTTCCGTTGGTTGACCCGTACAATTTACCTCACTCATTCTCTCCCCTCTTGACCATAAGGGTACTCTGATAGCATCGTATTTGCACGTGTTTTCACTCTGGTTTCCTGTCCATTTTAGCTTGAATTGATTGTTCCTTGGCCTATTTTACGCTAGGTTGTGTTGTTTTGTCGTATTTCAGGTCCTAGCAAGTAAAGAGGTGCACAGGCGCAAGTTTCGGATCAGTTGGAGGTCAGATGGTGATTCACAGGCCAAATTACGGGCAGCCCCTGCCAAATTACGACCGTAATTGGTCAGGGCATGCCCGTAAAACCAATACCGAGCCACTTTTCCAAGAATTCTTCTCGACACTAAAATTACGGGCAAGCCTCCACCAAATTACGACCGTAATTCTTGAAATACTGGCGGTAATTGGAAATTACGGGCGTGGCTCCTCTTCCATCAGATTAAAGCGAAACGCGCGTTTTGGGCGAATTACGGGCAGGCCGTGATTACGGCCGTAATTCTGCCCGTATTTTGCCCAGAGTCAAGTTTTTGAAGCCAGAATCGAGCCAAGGAAAGGGAATCGAATTTCTTGAGCAAAAACAGAGCCCTAGAGAGAGAAAGGACGAAGAACTCACCCTAGAAGCCATCTTGGAGCTGGGTTTCATCGAATCGAGCTTGGAGATCGTCCTAGGAGTGGAAATAATCATCCCGGAGCAGATTTTCCTCATCTTTATGAGTGTGACTACTCCGATTACTGTTTTCTTCTCTCTCTCTATGGAGTAGAACCTCTCTCTCACTTGGGGGTGAAGAACCCTAGTTCAATGTGTTAGGGATTTATTGTAATGACTTGGGATGATATTACTGTTTGATTTTAATCGAATGATGCATGTTTATTGAGTCAATTGAAGTCTGATCAACTTTTCCTGATTCCTGCTGCAATCTGAGATAGATAGAATCTGATTAGGTTGCTAGAGTTTCATCATTCGATAGTAGGAGATTGGCTATACGAGAGTTAGCCAGTTTACTTCTTTGTACTGGAATCCAATTCCAGTAGTGGAGTTCTGTTCTTACTGCTTCAGCTTTCTATCCCGGTGAAGACTAGTCGTCTGCCGGGAAGATAGACTGAGAGGGCTTGGTCAGCTTAAGAGATTCCAAGCTATTGTCGGATCTTCCGCAGTCTAATCAACAGTAAATCAACCCAGGGAAATACAATTGAAACCTAACTAAGGAGCTAGGGGGGCTCATTCCCGAGTGACTCTTACCTGCTTGAGAAAACCGAATAATTTCCTACTTTCTTTCTGCTTTTGCTTTTAAACAACAATCACTTACTTTAGTTGGCTAGATAATTGAGAATCACTGAGTAAGCATTAGATCTAGACCCCGGGTTGATAATATAACTTGCCTGTTACTGCATTCCCGGTCTGCGTTTACACTTGGTCGCAGATTGGTGTTGTGTTTTGGAATGTCAAGTTTTTGGCGCCGTTGCCGGGGATCCTCTAGGTTATTGGGGAAACGTGAGAATTTGTTATTCTAGATTTTTATTTACTGCATTTAATCTCTTCCACCTGTGTGCCTTCACGGGTTGCTTCTGCTGATTGTGTGCAGGTAGTGCATGACCCGTAGCCAGTCGCGAGATCTACTACCACTAGACCAGGAGCTTGAACGAACCTGCAGAAACTTCAAGCGGGCTCTAAAGGCGCGACTGGCTGCGGAGGAGGCGCTATCACAGCTGCAGTTAGAAGAAGAGGAAGAAGAGATGGCTGATCCACAGGGCCATGCTGTGATCGATCCCGAGGAGCAGACCATGGGACATTACTGGACCGCCAGGGCTGTAGACATGAGGTCACCTATTCAACACCCTCATGTCCCAGCCAATAATTTTGAGGTGAGCACCTCAGTAATCACCATGCTGCGCGGTTCGGCGATGTTCTGTGGCAAAGAGGGGGAGTGCCGCCGATCACATCTCAGGCGATTCCACGAGCTCATTGATGGAATCAAGATCAATGGGGTACCCGCATATGCCATCCAGCTGAGGTACTTCCCATTCACCATGGAGGGGCAGGCCAAGGAGTGGCTAGACACTCGACCTCCAGGCTCCATCACCACGTTCGCCAACCTGGCGGACAAGTTCCTCACCCGCTACCATCCTCCATTCAAGACAGCTGACTTGCAGAAGCAGATCACCCACTTCACCCAGGACGAAGATGAGACCATCAGGGATGCTTGGGAGAGATACACCAGTCTTTTCCTCAGGTGTCCCAATCATGATTTCAATGATGCGTTCAAGGTGGGCACCTTCTATCACGCCCTTTTCCCGGAGGACAAGCAGGTGATTGATTCGGTTTGTGGCGGGAACATGCTGACCAAAACACCGCCATAGCTGAATCAACTCTTTGAGGAGATGGCGGAGAACGGGTATGATTGGGGCACTGCCAGGAGATCGAGACGAGCACCAGGCCGGGGTGTGCATGCTGTGGGCACCCAGTCATCTGATCTGGTACAGGTGGTATCGAAGCTTGTCTCAGCTATCGATCGTTCTGGTTTGATTGCAGGTACAGGACAGCCGCAGGCGATGCACTGCCAGTGGTGTGAGAGCTCCCATCACACCGTAGAGGACTGTCAGGCAATAAGGGAATCGTCTACTCCCCAGGAGCAGGTGGACTTTATCAGTAATGCCAGGCGCTTCGAACCCTACAGCAACACTTATAACGAGGGGTGGCGCCAACATCCTAACTTTTCTTGGGCTGGGGCAAATCCCAGACCACCAGCTCCCCAGGGACCACCTGGCTTCCAGAGGCCTCCGTACCAGCCCAGACTGGGGCAATTTGAGCAGCCACAGTAGCCACTCTACTAGCCCAGACAGGGGCCAGTTCAACCACAGTCACAGGTGCGACCATTTCAGCAGACAGGGCAAGTTCCACCCGATGGCGGAATTGAGAGATTTGGTGGGTTCTCTGGCCACCTCCAGTGCGAACAAGTTCAATAACATAGAGCAATTCCTGGAGAAAGCTTCAGGCAAATTCTTGGAGCTAGAAGCTGGTCAGAGAAATACACAGGCTGTGCTGCGGGATATACAGACCCAGCTTGGGAGTGTTGCCCAGGCTGTAGCTCAGAGGACTCCTGGTACCTTGCCTGGTCAGACCCTTCCTCACCCGCAGGATCCGAATGCCAACTGCAGTGCCATCACAACCAGGAGTGGCAAGGTGACTACCGATCCACCTGTTCGGGCAGAGGAGAGAGAGACCCCTGCTTCAGCACTTCCAGCTAATCAGGAAGAAATGGAGAAGGAGGTTGAGGTGCCTGTTCCTAAATCGCAACCAGTGGTGAAGGAGTATGTACCACAGCTTCCCTTTCCTACTCGGTTGCACAAGGACCGACTGGAGACTGAGTTTGCCAAATTCATGGCAATGCTGAAGCAGGTAAACATTAGCATGCCCTTCGTGGAGGCATTATCGAAGATGCCCAAGTATGCCAAGTTCATGAAGGATCTCCTCACCAACAAGAGGAAGCTTGGGGAGCTGTCAACGGTGATGCTCAACGAGGAGTGTTCTGCCATCCTGCAGAACAAACTACCAGAGAAGCGAAAAGACCCAGGGAGTTTCACTATCCCTTGCATGATTGGTAGTTTGCATATAGGGAAGTCCTTGGCGGATTTAGGCACTAGCATAAATGTCATGCCTTATAAACTGTTTAAAAAGCTAGGCCTAGGTGAACCCAGTGATACTAGGATGAGCATCCAGCTTGCTGATAGATCCATTGTGCATCCTAGGGGTATAGCAGAGGACTTGATAGTCGCAGTAGAGCCATTTTCATATCTTGTTGATTTTGTGATTTTGGACATAAATGAGGATGTTGATGTGCCATTGATACTGGGTAGACCTTTTCTCGCCACCGCCAAGGCGCTTATTGATGTTAATGATGGAAAACTGATTTTGAGAGCTGGGGGTGAACAAATCACCTTCTCTGTTTCTGATAATATGAAACACCCCCAGCTCCATGATGATCTAGATTACTGTGATGTTGTTGCTGATTTTGAGACCGCACTCGCCATCACGAGTGCGGGTACTGATGATTTCCTTGAGCATTGTCTTTTGCTAGGGGAACAGGCATCACAGGACATGCAGTTGGAGGAGCAGCTCGCGGAGCTAGATGAGGCCATGATCGAGGGGCGAGAGATACCATTCAAGCCGATCCCTATCTCGCCCAAGATCGCTACATCATTGGAGGAGCCACCAGAGCTGGAGCTTAAGCCCCTCCCCTCTCACCTGGAGTATGCATTTCTCCGGGAGGGGAATAAGCTCCCGGTCATCATTAGCTCGGATCTGACACCCGAGCAGAAGAGCAGGTTGGTGGCTTTGTTGCAGAAGTATGCTCGGGCCATGGCATGGAAGATCACAGACATCAGAGGCATTAGCCCATCCTTCTGCTCCCACAGAATTCTGATGGAGGATGAGGTTAAGCCAGTCAGGCAGCCGCAGAGGAGATTGTCTCCTAACTTGGAAGCAGTGGTCCGGGCAGAGATTGTGAAGCTCATGGATGCAGGGATCATCTTTGCTATATCTGATAGCAAGTGGGTCAACCCCACTCAGGTGGTCCCGAAGAAAGGCGGGATGACTGTGGTCCTGAATGAGAAGAAGGAGTTGATCCCGATGCGGACCGTGACCGGCTGGAGAGTCTGCATCGATTACCGACGCCTGAATGACGCCATCAGGAAAGATCATTTTCCCCTACCTTTCATTGATCAGATGTTGGAGAGGTTGGCTGGCCATGAGTTCTATTGCTTCCTGGATGGCATGTCTGGTTACTTCCAGATTCCTATTGCTCCGGAGGATCAGGCGAAGACCACATTCACTTGCCCTTTCGGTACCTTTGCTTACCGGAGGATTCCATTTGGGCTGTGTAATGCACCGGCGACCTTCCAGAGATTCATGCTGGCGATCTTCGACCGACTGGTTGGAGAGATCATGGAAGTCTTCATGGATGACTTCTCGGTTTATGGAGACTCCTTCTCTCATTGTCTCCATAACCTGGAACTCGTTCTGAAGAGGTGTGAAGAGACGAATCTGGCACTCAGCTGGGAGAAGTGCCATTTTATGGTTCGTGAGGGTATTGTGCTCGGGCACAAGATCTCCAAGCAGGGAATTGAGGTGGATCGCGCGAAGATTGAGACGATCAGTCAGCTACCTCCTCCTATTTCTGTGAAGGGTATTCACAGCTTTCTAGGTCATGCAGGCTTCTACCAGCGCTTCATCAAAGATTTCTCCAAGATTGCCCTGCCATTGACCAAGCTGCTAGAGAAGGATGCACCATTCCAGTTCACTCCCCAGTGCACAGCTGCATTTGAGACTTTGAAGGAGAAGCTGACCCATGCCCCTATCATGGTAACTCCTGACTGGTCTCTCCCTTTTGAGCTGATGTGCGATGCGAGTGACTATGCAGTCGGAGCAGTTCTGGGTCAGAGACGCGAGAAGCACTTCCAGCCCATCTACTACGCGTCGAAGACCTTGAACGATGCACAGGAGAACTACACCACCACTGAGAAGGAGCTCCTCGCTGTGGTGTATGCATTTGACAAGTTCCGGCCTTACCTGGTGCTCTCACATGTGGTGGTCTACACAGATCACTCGGCGATTCGCTACTTGATGAGCAAGGCTGATGCAAAGCCTCGACTCATCCGCTGGATCCTGCTTCTGCAGGAGTTCGACATCGAGATCCAGGACAAGAAAGGAGCCGAGAATGTTGCTGCAGATCATCTTTCACAGTTGGAAGCCCCTCCGGTGGACAACTTCGTGGAAGAGATCGATGACTCCATCCCGGGTGAGCGATTGCTGGCGATGACACTGGTGGACAGCGTGACCCCTTGGTATTCTGACTTTGCCAATTATCTGGTGGGCAAGCAGTTACCCAAGGGGATGGCTACTCATGCAAAGCGCAAGTTCTTCTCCGATCTGAAGCACTACTTCTGGGAGGATCCTTACCTCTTCAGAATCGGAGCAGACGGCGTGATCCGGCGCTGTGTCATGGAGCGCGTGATGGGAGACATCCTGTCTCAATGCCACGAGGGACCTACTGGAGGTCACCATGGAGGTAACCGCACGGCGCGGAAGGTGCTACAGTCGGGCTTCTATTGGCCCTCGCTCTTCAAGGATGTAGACTCCTTCGCACGCCAGTGCGATCGCTGCCAAAGGCCAGGTAACATTTCTTCCCGGGATGAGATGCCCCAACATATCTCTGTTATTTGTGAAATTTTTGATGTTTGGGGTATCAATTTCATGGGCCCATTCCCTCCATCTTTTGGCAATCTGTACATATTGGTTGCAGTGGACTACGTCTCGAGGTGGGCAGAAGCTCAAGCCATGCCCACCAATGATGCAAGACGAGTCTGCTCCTTTCTGAAGCAGCTGTTCTCCCGGTTCGGGACACCCCGCGCCATCATTAGTGATAGAGGAACCCATTTTCAAGGGCAATTCACTAAACTCCTCTCTCGCTATGGTGTTAAGCATCAGGTGTCAGTGGCCTACCATCCCCAGTCAAATGGGCAGGCTGAGCTGACGAACCGGGAGCTAAAACGAATTATTGAAAAAACGGTGGATCAGTCCCGCAAGGATTGGTCCACCAAGCTCGATGATGCTCTTTGGGCGTATAGGACTGCCTATAAAAATCCGATTGGCACTTCTCCCTATAGGCTTGTCTATGGGAAGGCGTGCCATTTTCCAGTAGAGCTAGAGCACAAGGCCTTCTGGGCCATTAAGCTGCTAAACCTTGATCTGAGTGTTGCAGGCACAGAACGTAAGTTGCAGCTGCTGGAGTTGAAGGAGTGGCGTTACCACGCCTACGAGAACACTGTGCTCTACAAGGAGCGCACCAAGCGTCTCCACGATGCTCGGTTGAGGGGCCCGAAAGAGTTTCAAGTAAGTGATCGTGTTCTGCTTTTCAATGCACGCCTGAAACTCTTCCCGGGCAAGCTCCGTTCGAGGTGGTCGGGACCCTTCACGGTCACCCAAGTTTACCCCCACGGTGCGGTGGAGATCAGCAATGCTCAAACCGAGCCATTCAAGGTGAATGGCCACCTCCTAAAGTTGTATTTGGGAGTTGCTGTCGAGCGCGCAGAGCTGCTGATCAAGCTCGAGGACCCTTAGTTCCTCTACTGGCGTCCAGCTAAAAGACTGTAAAGAAGCGCTTGTGGGGAGGCAACCCCACTTCGGTTTGCATTTCTATCCTTTTTCCTTGTTTTTTTTATTTATTTATTTAATTTTTGTCGTTTTCGAGTCATTGAGTCTATCTGGAGTCTTTCTGGAATGTTTCTCGTGCCCCGGATGGTCTGTTTTTGTCTATGGTGGTGTCCTTTTACGAGCCGGGGCACGTGTAACACCCCTGAATTTTGGGTTCAGGTTCGACCAAAATACCTGACCGGTTGGGTTGGCAGTCGCGTACTAAAAGTTGCAATCGCGGATTAGTAGTAATAATAATAATAATAATAAGTATTATTATTATTTTATAAAAAAAAGGGTTAATACAAGCCGACTGAGCGGCCCTCAATGGAACGCCAATACCGCCGCCCCAAATTAGCTTCTGCAGCAGCTCTCGGCCATGTGGAAAAGGGGGTGCGCTTTGATTTATTGGACCAGGAGAGAAACGCCGGCAGTAAGGTCCTTGTTCCTAGCATCGCCATCATTGGGATCAGACAGGAGAAAGCGGAGGTTGATCATCCTCATGCTCTCGGCTACAGGGTAAATCAAAGGCTTTCCCTTGCAATTCAATCACTACACGTGCATGGTTATTACATTGGATGGAAGTCCATTAACATTTATGGGATTGGTATACATGGATGGATGGATTAGGTGATGTGGGGTATGACAAAAGAAGATGGAAAACGAGAAGTGATGGAGGAGGAAGTAAAATCGAATCGGTCAATTTGAACAACCAATTAGGTGAGTGTAAAGGGGGTAAATTCTACGCCTTACGTATTCTTTTAAGCATTATGATTTTAAGTATTTTAGCGAATTGATTACCGTTGCTTGGTTATGTTTATGATTGATTATTTGTGCTTTGCTTGAGCTATGATTTGAGGTGATGTTGTGCTATTTGGGGTGATATGAGGTGATTTTGTGCTTTTTAGCTTAAAGCGTTATGTTTGAGTTATTGTTAAAGTTTAGGAAACAAGTTCTTTTTAAGAAGTAACTCACCTTCAAGGAGGTGAAGTCGTTTTAAGTGTTTTTAGTCACTAGCGCCAGTCCGTTGCCACTTGAGATCTTTGAGACAGAGCAGCAGTTATGCTCTTGAGACTGTTAAGATGGGCAGCAGTTATGCCCTTGAGAATCATGGTGAAGAGCCACCACGATAAGTTTAAGATGTTAGGGGGATGAATCGTTACGACTTCCCTAACTAAGTTTAAGGAAAGCCTGAGTGGCTTCTCAAACGTATGAGTTGGCAACCGGACTAGCTAGTGAGGGATCCCCGTGTCAGTCAAGTATTTTAAGTCAAGCTTTGAGATTTAAGAGTGGAGTAACAGTAACTCCCTTACAGTTTTAAGAGTTAAGCTTTTTAGTAGTGGAAGTACAAAACAACTACCGCTCAGTTAAGAAAAGAGATCAAGTATTAGAAGTATTAAAACGTAAGGGCGTAGACTGACCCCATCTCACTCACCAGTTTGAGGAGCTAGAGGAGCAGTTAGTGAGCAGCGAGTTCGAGGGCAGCCAGCTAGAGGAGAGCAGTATAAGCGTCACGGAGGATGCTTAGTAAAGGTTTTCAGTAGAAACAACTTCAGAGATTTTTTTTAGTTATTGACATTTATGATTATGAGTACAGACTGGAGATTATTTTGAGATCAGATTGAGATTTTAAAGTTTGAGTTTGATTTGCCCATGTGTTAGGGCTTTGCTTGAACTACAAGTGTGTGTTTTCATTATTTTATTTATGAAAATTTTTCCCGCTGCAATTTAAGCTTCGAGTATTTATTTATCAAGGGCCTTTTAGTAAAAGTAGTACCCGGCCGGGTTAGGGTGTGTCATTTTGGTATCAGAGCCGGTCGTCCTCTGTTTCTTGGTTTCCAAGGAATACTGGAATATCGGTCTCAGTTTTAAAGGTTTTTGTTTTTAAAGGAAAGGGAAAATGAGTCAAGGATCTTCTTTTAAGAGTTTATAGAATCTCCAGTCTACTCTAATCATAATAAGGTAAATAACTATTACAGTACGACACTATGAGAAGGTAGCACGAGGGTGCAATTGGTTTAAGAATAAGCTAGGACGCGAGTTAAGTTAACTCGTCGTGGGACGTCAAATAAGAGATTGAGGCGTATGGCGATCATCAGTAAGAAAGAAAGGATGAAGGAAACGTGACTAACCCAAGTAGAATCTCAAAGGCTCTCAAGACCAAGTATCTCATCGACATGATGGATAGTAGTTTTTCAATTAGTTAACCAACTACTCGGACGTTAGCAAACGGCGTTGACAAGGTGTATGGAGGTTGGATCAAATGTGCGAGGAATTCAAGTCTAAACACCAGCAAAGAGGTGTTGAGTACAAGTTGAATGAGGATAGGGAGGCTTGAAGAAGTTCAATAAGATTTCAAAGCCATCACCCTTGGTATACGTGGTGGAGGTGGAGAATAACGTAATTGCTATTAAAGGAGAAGCCAGGAACTCTAAAGGTGAAAATTTTCGGCAAATTTTGGAAGGCACGAGGTCCTAGGTGACCTACGTGGTCGACATTGGACCAAGAGCTAGGTTCCGGCAGGTTAATACCTTACAACAAGCAGCATGAATTTCATTAGAAACAATGAGGATTTCAGGGTCCTTGACCCTAAGCAGTGGCGAGGAAGCAACGAGCCAAGAAACGAAGAGGTACCACGAGAAGTCCCTCAACTAGTTTTAGTGGTCAACGCTATTACAACATAGTGACAAGGAGCAGCGAAAAGCTTGGACTTCAAGAGAAGCTAGGGTATTGTAAGTGAAGTAAATGAGGAAGTAAGTAGGTCAGAGGGGGTCTGAAAGGACGTCAAAGGGTCAAAAGGTCAAGGCGGAGAGGAGGCATAATCATTTACATATGACGATAGAGGAACCCTTATACATAAAATACGTCACTACAGAAGAGGGTACATGACCCTGGGGAGTTAGGCCGATGACAAGCCTTTAAAAGAAACAAGACAAGCAACGAGATAAATGATGTAGAGGACAAGTTATGGTCTCAGTACGAGCACCATTGGACGAGTTGTGGAGGAAAGTACCACCAAAGTCTAAATCATGCCTGGTAGAAGACAGTGGGGAGTCAATACATAAGAAAAGACATGGATTGTGAGAGAGAATAACGGTTAGCTAGTAGATGGCAGTACGAATAGAGAACCACTTCTCAGAAGTGCGTGAGTTGGATACCAAAGATAACACCGAGTTAGAAGGAGGATAGTAGAGACCCTACAAACTACCCAGGTCACAAAAGGTCAGGAGGATGTTGGGACCGTTGGAAGGGGTATGCAAGAGTTCACGATGATCTATTATGGGATTGTCCTCTCTTAAATTGAGGGAACACCTAGCCTCCTAGGGTACATGAGGGGTGACAGAAGGAGGAACCTCTCTACTAAGTTGGAACTAGAGGGCTAAGAGTTGAGGTCTCGGAACTAGCTATAGAGTAAGTCATTAAGCCAACCGAGTATAGACAAGTAAGTGGAATGTTCAATAAATGTTCTAGTGAATGGAGAGAATTCGAGGAAACACATGGAAGTTCCGATGAAGGATTGAGAATAGGTGTAGGTGACTCGTGTTCAAGAAAATGCATAGTGGAGTACGACGAGGAAAAGCACTACCAAGAAGGAGGAAATCATTAAGTTACCTTACCCAAGGTGCCCCACTCTGAGCAAGTACGACATAGTAGGATGTCATCCATAAAAGAAGTCCAGTTAAGGATAAATTAGTGATATTTAGTTAAGCCACTAAGAGCCCTGACTAAGAGATTAAGGCCATGTACAAGCATCGGTCGAGACAAAAGACGTGGATGAGGTATGTTCAAGCCTACCTAGGGCAAGCCACTTTTGGAAGCTTTGACCCAAAACAACAACGAGAAGATACTCAATAGAGTTTGGTGACCGAAAATAGTACAAGGCACCAACAGAAGGGTAGTAAAAGTAAAGAAGCAAGGAGAACACCATGGGAAGTTACAAAAAAATGGTTGGCATCAACCTGGCGATGTATGCGTCAAGGAAGATAGTTAAGACGGGCGGAAGTAGGAGTACAACAGACAACAAGAAAGCATTAGGTTGACCACCAAGTAGGGAACAACCGATCCATAGGAAGTCCATGAAGATATTTCAGTCAATTTTTAAGGTGGAATCATGATCGTCAGGAATAATCAAAGGGAGGACCTTATCTATCATGGTACATAAGTGAGAAGAGACTATAAGAACATAGATGACTACATCGAGAACAAGAGACATCTAGAACTAGAAAGGAACATCAAGAAGAAGAGTCACGAGTAACGAAGTAAGAGGGATATGAGTTTAGGGAACCTGCTAGGATACCCTAAAGTGAAAGCAATACCACCTATGGGAGTGAAATATGGCGACCCCTCGGGTGAAAATTTCTTGGACGGGGAAACTGTACGAGGAAATTCAGGCAAGGTCAAAGAACAATAGAAGAGATCGTACGAGAGCTCCCAAGTCAAACGGTGATAAGGAAGTGTTAAGTTAGGCGCCAGGAGTGAACAAGTATGCAAAATGGAAGGTCGTGATTCTGGAAAGGAGTCATAAGGCTGATTGCAAGCTAGAGAAAGATGCAAAAGATGTCTTTAATGCATACAGACAGTAAAAGCAGTAGTATGAGGTTTCTGTGTTTAGCAAGAAGTAACGAGGAGATGACCATTCAGTTTATGGTTAAAGGATAAGACGAGCTAGACATCAAGGAAGAAAGTAAGAGATGCAAAGTTAGGGTTCGAAGTGGTATTACCTTCTTATGTAACAATTGATGGAGATAGCGGATGCCTTAAACACTTTCGAAGTAAATGACCAATGTGAAGGGGGTAAGAGGCATCAGACAACAGGGCATTACCGAGCAAGTCGAACACTCACCATGAACGTTTACGCCATGGATTTCAAAGGTGTGCATCAACAATCGTGAAAAGGAGAACATTATAGGTCAAGATACTGGTGAATTATTAGACGATGTTGCTTAAGAAATTGTAAGGGGGGATCTTGAGAAACCGCGGTGATCACAAGATGGTTTGACTAAAGCACCACAACGTCGAAGCGGTATGGGTGGAGAATTTCATAGTTGTATCTAGCTAATAGCTAGCTAGGCAAGTTGTCTATGAGAAATGGTTGAACTACCAGTCTTCTAAAATCACATCATATCGAAGGGAAGGATGTATAGCTCAGTGTCACGCAAGTTAAGGAGGCACAATTCTTTGCAAATAGATTGTCACAAGTGAGACTTGAGGTCATCACAACGAACAAATTTCGAGGTCGAAATTTTCTTAAGGAAGGGGGAAATGTGATACCTCGATCTGGAGCTATATACTACAACCAACTACTGAATGAGTTGGGTCACGAACCAGATTGAATCAGAATTTTGTTTCATTAAGCAACTGAGCCGGATCACGGAAGTTAAAAGGCCAATGAGTCACTTAAAGTTATACGGTGCTACAAAGCTATGTGAGGATAGCTGTTATGGTCAAGAGAAAGTATAAGAAGTAAAAATCAACTATACGAGGCAAGGTATGGACACGCCATTGAAGTTTAAATAGCAAGAATAAAATTCTTGAGGCAAGGAAGTACAAGAATGGTGTTGACAGAGGAATGAGATTCAAGCAAATTTCGGGGACGAAATTTTTATAAGGGTGGAGGAAATGTAACACCC